ATTATTAATACCAATTTCTAAATGTGGTAATAAAATCATTTGGGATATAAGTCATGCCCATAAACATTAGAGGAGGTACATTATTACTATAGACATCTTCACTCTCCGATTCAGTTTCAGGATCGGAAGAATCAGTCTCAGAGCTAGATGACTCTGTTTCAGTGTATTCCGAATCATAATACTCACTAAGATCAAGATTTCTCATAACTCTATGATGTTTAAAAAATTTGGTTAATATGACTTCTCCATCTGAATCTGTTGCAATAAATTCGGGAAATAATAGTTCGTAAAATGTATGCAATGAAAGAGGTAATTCCCAAAGATTTTTTCTACAGTGATATTGACTTTTTTCCCTTTCTTGTTCTTCAATCTCTTTAGGTTTATTAACGTACCGTGGTAGGTTTTGCTGTCTGTCAACAGCATATCCTGTATGCATTAGCCATACACTTCCTAAAACCAAATCGTATTCAGGCTTGTCAACAACTACGAAATTTGCTGTATCTTTTCCCAAATATGAAGGAGGTACTATCTCATCAAAGATATTTGGCAAAGCGACTGAAACTTCTTCTCTATCAACCCATCCTCTTCTCATCACCTTCTTGCCAGCGTTCGTTGCGCCAATGCCAAGGTCTCTTACCGTAGGATATCTTGACCCATCTAATCTAGAAATATATAAATCCATTTTTTTGGCAAGCGCCTTACTAATGCTACCATGGAAGGATTTGGGATCAATAAGTGCTTTAACAGTTACTTTAGCTCGAATGAATGTACAATCCACTATTAATCTTTTGCGAATTTCTCGAAGCACCTCATCTTTCCATATATTATTTATACTGCAACATTTTTTAAGATCCTGTATCGACAGATTTTTTAGAATAAATGGTATTAGTTCTGGCATAAGCTGATCAAGTAAATTAACTGTATGCATTTCATATGATTCGGAGATTTTCAATCGGAAAAAATAGTTAGCTTCATGTCGCACAGACCTATTATGTGATCACCACTCTGAGTCGGATAGATTTGACTCATTATCACTATCTGAATCGGGCCATTCTATCTTGATATTCCGATCGAGCTTTTCTAATACATTTCTGCTAATACCTTTACAGGCCTCTAGGCCAAGGAATTTTAGATTATGGCATGAATGAGCAATTTCTCTGATAGCTGAATTACCAATCATCTCACAGTTACCGAGGTCTAGATATTTGAGTTTAGGACATGATCGCACAATGTCACGAATACCCGAATCAGTAACACCATCACAGCCATATATATCAAGATGCTCTAATTTATGACATGATTTTGCTATTTCTTTAATAGCTCTATTACTAATAAAACATTGCATTAGATCTAGATACCTAAGTTTTCGGCATGAACGTGCAATAATGCATATAGAGTCTTCACTGATTAGGCCACATACTCCAAGGTTGAGATGCTCTAATCTTGGACATGATTTTGCTATTTCTTTAATAGCAGTATCAGTAATAAAGCTACATTCTAAGAGATCTAGCCTTAATATATTTGGATATGAATGTGCTATATTAATAATTGCGGTTTCACTGATAGCTAGTTTACGTGTAGCATTGAAATTTAGATATACTATATTTGGGCATGAGCTTATTATTCTATTTATGTCTTCGTCCGAAAATTCATCGTAAGAGAATATGAAAATGAGATTTCTTACATTTACTCCATGAAATGGTTTTAAGTTTCTACAAATATGCAAAAACTTTTTTTGCCGTAGAGAGTCTAAGAATTCGATATGTTTCCATAGTATCTGTCCTGCAGTGTAATACCAAAATCGGTTAATAAATAAGACGGGATAAAGTGACTTATCTATCGCTAAGAAATGTAAAATCTGTTCCAATAGTTCTGGTATAATAAAAATGCTTGTATGCGTCATAAATAAATATATGCTGTTTCTTTAATCGAAAAAATAAAGTTAGCTATAGCATGGAATGATCACTACTTCGGATTAGTTGGATGATCAGGAAGTTAATTAATCTTATTTCTGCTATATACATTTTTCTTCCGAATCTTTTCCTGAACTCCTTTATGCTTAATCGTATCAGAATCAGATGATTCGGATGAACTAGACTCGGATGAACTGCTACAATTGCAATGCTTCATATCATATAGTTCATTTATGTTATCCCTTAGCCAGTTCAGATGTTCATCCACATATTTTTCTAGTCGTTTAACTTTCTTTTTAAGCTTTTTATGCTGAGAATGATAATCATCCAATCTTTTCGCTAACGCCCTATTTTCACCGGAGAGCGCAGTATATACTTCTGCATTTTGCTCGTCGAGTCCAAATATCTGGGCTAATTTCTTCGTATATCTGATAACTCCTGCTCGTTAGGATCAGATGAATGCTTTTGATCGGTTATCATTTTCGTGATATATTCTATATGCTATATCTTAGGCGAATGAAAAAATAAAATTAATAAATGATATCTCGACCCTCTAACCCATATACAGTATGTGATCAGTTTTCATCGAAGATACAAAATGGTCTTGCTTGATCATAAGGTTGCCCCCTCCTTCTGAAATTAACTATAGTATATCTATCAGATGGAGCGGTATGGTTATTGGGACTGTGCCTTAATGCTTGACTGGCTATAGTATTAGCCTCTGATAAATTCTTTGCACCTTGTGCTACAACAGCAAATACTGCCCCTAATTTGCGCAAAGAACTAGGAAGTAGTGGCTTATCAGGTTTGGAAAGATATTCATCTTTTTTCAGGAATGAACTTAAGTATTTAGATCCAGGCTTTCCTGGGTCCCTTAACTGCCCGGAAATGATCGCTTTCTGAATCCATGTAAGCAATTGCCTTGCCCGCTCCTCATTTTTTTCCAGTGATCTAAATACTCGAGGAATATCCTGCTGTCCTCGGTTTTTTGCATATCCAGTCACACCTCCATTAGATATGCATAAGTTTTTAATTTCAGCAGGACGGATACAGAGCATGATCATTACATCAGCTAGGGCCTGTTTGTCGGGTATATTAGATACATCATACAAATCTAGCCTTTCCATAACCGATTCTATTGAGAAGTGGTCTGGAAAATCAATCCCTTCATTTTTGCGTTGCTCACTACGCTCCTGTTGGATTTTATTGGATGCTCTGGTTATCTCCGGAATCAAGGTAGCAGAGATTATTTTTTCTGGAGCATTGAGGCTCTCCAATTCTCTTCGAAGCCTAGAGAGACGGGACAAACCAGCGATAGGACCAGAGGCAGTTTCGACTAAAATTCTAGATATCGCTTTTACATCTCTTTCACTAAGATTATCCCGGACAATACGTTGAGCCGTTTCTTTAATAGTCTCTTCGAAAGAAGTACTATCGGATGCTTGACATATATTTACTTCCCCAGTTTCCGATCCATCTCCTCCTTCTTTGGTGGTTACTTGGCTTTTACTTCGCCCAATTCTTTCGTGAGGAATTAATGTATACGCCTGTTCTTTGCTAAACTTATATCCTTTTTGAAGACGATCACGAGCCTGACGCCTTTTTTCTTTATCCACCTTTGGCACACCAGTTGTCAAGAGCTCAAGTATTTCTGGCGCATATTGGCTAAGCTCTTCGAGACTCATTTCGTTGGTGAGCTTGTTGTCTGTAACGAACTTGGTTGTAATAGCAGACATGGAGTGGTATGTAGATTATAGGGTGGTAATTAGATTAATCTGTGGTATTCAGATTATATTAAGTGGGATAAACTTCAATTCGAAAAAAATATTCTGTCATTACACTATCTCATGGTTGGTGAAAATCATCGGAGGTGGCTCTTAAGAAGGCGAAAATAATGATATATCATATATGGAGTCTCTATCCTTGAGTGCCTTCGGCTGAGGCCAGTCACTCCGGCCGGGATATGTTTTACATTGATTTGAAAATTGCAGATAGATAGGATATGCGAAAAAAATATATAGTCATGGAACTGCCATTCCAAGGCTATGAATGGTAATATTATAGTAATATTTAGTAAAACATTCGTGCTAGAGCTAATATACGCTCCGGCCCTAAAATATCTGTCTTGATAAATGCATCATATAAAGCACCCGACCTATATTTTGATGGAGCTAAATTTGGGTGATGGAGGAATTTCATGAGTACGTTATTCCTCCAAACTTTCGTCTCTTCGCGCTCCCAGCATAATTTTAATAGTTGGCATAAAGTGAGATTGTGCCAATTAGCTTTGAGTAAAATCTGCAATAGGCTTATTTTTTCGTTAACCACTGCTAGTAAACTTCTTTCTGATACGATACCCCAAATACGATAGGAGATGAAAGAAAGATATCTTCTTAATATTGGTAATTCATGTAAAGGCGGAATCAAAAGCCTTTCTTCTCTCCAATGCATATAACCTTCGAGTAGCATTTTACGATATACTGACCCATTTATAGCTATCATGCGATTAGATTTGGGGTTATAGATTTTTTCGTGATCCTTATCTACAGGTCGGTCTAACATGTCCGTATCGTTAGTATGAAAAGTCATTTATGACTTAACTTAATACCGAATAATTTAAATACACATTTTATTATAAAATTAAAAGTGAAAAGGCTTTTATATCCTAAAATACTTTCATGGATCGTGTTACTTGCCGGTTTATCAAGAGAGATGGTTCCATTTGTGGAGGAGTCTGTACTCGAACTACTGGCTGTGCGAGGCACTGGAAATCATATGAAAAAAATATGAAAAAAAGACCATGCCTTGCTTGTGGATTTCCTACTGATGCGGATTCAGGGTATTGCGTCAAAAATTGTTCGAAACATTCTGCAAAGTTTCATGCACTGAATTATCGAATGAGGCAGAAGTATAAGGCTGAGGCCCGTCAACCCAGAATCCCTGAAGCTCCAATTTCTGAGCCGGGAAATGGGAATAGACCCCTTCAACCCAGAATCCCCGAAACTCCATTTTCTGAGCTAAGTGATGCGGATGGGACTCTTCGACTCATAATCTCTGGAGAACCGATTTTCGAGCTGAGTGATCTGGCTAGTCTCCTTCAACCCAGAATCTATGAAGCTCCAGTTTCTGAGTCGGATGATGAGGATAGGGGTCTTGACCTCTTTGGGGATTAGTGGTTAGCTTGAAATTCAGAGCACTAGGAATCCTTCTGAATTATCTGCCGAGAAGTGAGTAAAAAAATATTATTATATAAAATTGTGGCAGAGCGCCAAGCCGAAAGAGTCTACGTCTCAGAAGTATGTGACTATGTATCCTGACTGGAGTGATACAAAGATAGAAATATTTTTTAATATACAAATAAAGCATATCGGGCATATTTCTGGATGTAGCCTTCTTCGGAAATATTATATAAAAAATTGGAAGAAGGCTACACATACCCGATCCATTAGAATAGTATTAACACATATCGAATAACTCCTGAATATTTCCTGTGATTTGCGTATTATCCACTTTGCTAGAACTAGTAAGATTATCTAATATCAATTCATCGGGTGGGAGTTTACTATACCCATACCGAGTATCTTCCCCATTTTCCCAATAAATTTCTTCACCCATTTGATATGAAGGTAATCTAGGAGCGTCTTTAGTATCAAATGATCCATCTAGGCGGTAATACCTGCGACTCCTATCTATAGCCTTAAATTTCAACCCATAAGTTGCATGTAGTGCTGAGTTCAGTAAACCAAGTTTTGCCCGATCTGTTTTCAATCCCGATTTTTTAGCACTGCGCGATGCATCTGTATTATCAAAAACTCGAGCCATTTTGGGTACTAAATCCTGGAGATATGATATTGATTCAGGAGAATTCAGATGAGTTTTGACATCATCAGCTTTATATCGTGTCCTATCGTCAATATCTCTAGCAGGTGTACAGATCTTTAGTAATTCCAGGCAAATTCGATGTTTCTCAGCTCGAGTGGCTACGGCAAGTTTATCATCCCTATAATCTTTGCGAGTGGTAGCCTCAACAGCCGTTTCATTGTTAGTACCAGCATCTCGTAACTGCCTATAAGCTCTGAACCATCTCATATGATTATATCCCCCATACTTCGAAATGAAATTTTCGGTCAATAATTCAGGCGAAATCTCATAACATTCTACGATATGGTGCCGGTCTAGAGACCGCATTTCTTCTAAAGTTTTTCTTGGCTTGTTCTCTAGAAATTCGGCAGTCTCACGATCGACAATAGTAGCATTGGATACATCTGATATCTCCTCTGCTTTAATGATAGAGGAATTCGCCTTCACGGCTTGAGATAGTGATACAGCGTTTTCTTCAGACTTAGGAGTGGGTTCTATGATGGAAATTATCATACCCGCATTTTGGAGAAAATCAACCATTCTCTAACCAAATAAGCGTCGGGAACGAAATCTTTCTAACATATAGGCCGTCCATAAACGAACAGTTGGTACGTCCTTATTCCGGATGATAGAATCTATATCTGGAAATATTCCTCTATTCTGAAGTTCCCAGGGGAGACATTCCCGTTTGGCATTCAACAACCATTAGAATAAACCTTTCTCTGTGATGGGGACGTTAGAAGATCTCTGCTCAATATGACATATATAATCCTTAATACATCGCATGTGAAATAACATCTGATTCGTCCCGGCATTTGTTTCTATGTAGCTATTAAAAAGACAGAATGCCCGTTCGAACTTAGGATTAGTGCAGGATACTCCTATTTTTAAAGTGCTTGTATAGGCAACTAAGTCTACGTCTTTCCATGACTCTTCTACGTTACTGAAGTTATGAGCCTTTTCTACTGGATCGGATTTATCATGATATTCCTTGATCCTCAATTCTGGAAAATCGGTCTTGAGAGCACGAATAATTCCTTGCACATCTTTTCTAAGGTGATAGATAAGCAATACGCTTGTCCGATTCTCAAAAGGTAATAAAGACATTTGCTTAGCCCATTCCCAAAGTTCAGCTAATACTGTTTCTTTATTAGAAGCCAAGCGGAATGTCTTACCTTTCTGATGCTGGTAAGTATTGTGGATAATAGAGAGAGGTATATTCTTACGAAGGGCCTTAATCCATTCAATGTTAAGGTCAGTTAGGTCATTATCCATTACAATAATGCGTCTCGCGTCTTGGATCAATTTATATAACTTCTCTATCGATTGACCTGCCAAATGACTTTGTGCTTGAGCAATTATAGACACTATTTCATCAAGCCACAAGTCATATTGGATTGGAAGACATTTGCATTTTTTATTACATTTGCAATTATTAGTAATCCGATGTAAGCTTTCTATCTGACACACTACCCTCTTATGATCAGGTAAATTTATATTACCATCGATATCACAATATGATTTGAGATTAAGTCTGGTAGTAACTGCATTCGAATAGGAGTGACGCGTGGATAATACTAGCAAATTCACGTCGTCAGATATAGTAAGATGCTCTAGAACATATGTTTTTCCTGTCTCCCAAGGTGATCCAACATAGATATCACCTTCATTGGGTAATGGTCTTACATATCTCTCCTCATATATTTCTGTCGCTGTAAAGGTTTCATTACACTTAACCCAGGGTGGCATTTTTACGAAGGCTTTAGGAAATCCTGGGCCTTTTATCTTGCTAGGCGCTGAAGATATATTTTTATTTTTTTGCTGAATTTTTTCCGCAATAGATGGGTCGCATTCGAAAACTACCCCAGGTTCATTACTATTTTGCCGAAAACATTTCACAATGAATGTACCACTAGCAGATACATGACCGAACCACCGCTGATCCTTGTCATGTATACGATTACATAGTGGACATTCCAGTGGAACTTTCCGGTTAAAATATACGAAGTTTTCTGAGTCTTTTTCTTCAATAGTACAATCTCTAAGATAATTAAAATATTTTTGCAAAACAAGGTCCGCGCATTTTTGTAATATATCATGACCTACGATTATCTTTAGTGAACTATTATTTTTTTCTACGCTAAGCATACGAGGTCTTACTTCGAGACCTAAGCTAGTAGGTGGTTGGACTCTAACGTGATCGAGCTCATTCCAGCCATTATCTAGAGAGAATTGAAGAATGCGTTTCACACGACCTTTTTTTGCCGAACCAATTAAGCGAAGGTTAAAATTGTGACCAGGTAATTTCTGATCAATAAACTGACCATATTTTTCACCGGTTATGGTATATACTAATTCAGTAAATGCTTTGAGTTCATGATGGTCAATAAGAAGAGCCGGCGCGTATAAAATATGGTAGCTACACTTGCTATGGTCCGATGATGTAGCGATTACCAATCCTCTGAGAATATCTTTCCAACCACAGTCAAGAATTCGGTACAAAGCTCTTATGAAAGAGCAACAGATTCGAATGAACACTTCTTGTCCCTTGACATCAGCTATTTCCATATCCTTTTTCGACGCATCAATGTCAATCACGGCTCTTAAAGGTTTTTGACCGTTAATACATTCATGAATCCTAGGTAAGCCATATACTTCTGAAATGTCATCGGCAACAGAAAATTTGGGGGCATGGTCATCATCTTGGTCAATTTTGATAACTAATTTATCTTCTACCTCATCCCGATCGTAAGCATTATATAAACTAGACCCTTTTTCGTTTGGAAAGAGGAATGAATAGATTGGGAGATTTTCCAATGAGCCTTTTTCATCTGACATATCTCTAGGTGGTGATAGGAAAATTTCTCGAATGGCATTTAGCAAGTTCTTGGAAGAAAAATTATCATTAAACTTTTCCTGCCTTAAAGTATATGTCCCATTAATCTTTCGCTCTTTTACATTTGGTGGTTGAACCAATGGAGTCTTGATAGTGCTGGTTGAAGCGCAGGGAGCTTCTTCATTATCCGAATCATAATTAGACTCATAGTCATTATAATCATCTGACCCTAAGTCGGATCTACTATCAGTACAACTGCTTGAGTCGCTTAAATATTCATCGGGGCCGGCGCCGTCATAGCGGGCAGTTCCGGAGCGATCAGTTTGGTCGAAAATAGTTGGTGTATGCATGGTGTTAGTTCGAAAATGTTTATATTACTTTATAAAATTCGGAAATGTTTAATTTATTTTTTTCGGTGGATGCAAAAAGAAACGATAGTGAACTTATTAAACGAATCGAAAAAGAAAGGCAACCGGATATATATCTAAAAGTGAAGGCTTCTGCGTAATCTATTATATAAAAATTGGCAGAAGCCTTCACCTAACACTAGTATGTGCTCGGGTGTGGTATGCATTCAGATGATAAGTCTTCTGCGTAATCATTATATAAAAAAATGGCAGAAGACTTATAATTTCTAGATATGTACTCGGGTATGATATGACATCTAGGGTAGGCAAGTGCGCAAAAATATTGGCAGAAGACTACCCCTAACACTAGTATGTACTCGATGTATATTGGATACTTAGGGGACAGTATCGCATTGCTAGTATCGCCACATTATACCTCTGATTTTCTAACCAATTGAAACACCAGACTGAGACCCAAATATCCCTCGAAAGTAACAAGAAGGTTGCGAGCAAGTGACGAGAAAGTAACGGAAAAGTGCCCGGAACTGAAGGCGCAGTAAATTATGATAATTTCGACCAATACTAATCTATAATAACTGGCCGAACTCAAGGCGCAGTAAATTACGATCACCTGATATTGCACATATTTTCGCTGAATGTCATCTGATACTAAGCCCTCTGGGATCACTATCATATGATTCTCCTAACAATATATGTATAGAGTATCACTTGACACAGAGCCCTTTGGGATTACTATCATATGATTCTTCTAACAATATATGCGTAGAGTAATCACAAAAACTTTAGGCGCAGAAAATTAACAATATATGCGCAAAGAATCACCTGTCATTGAGCCCTTTGGGAGCACTATCAGATGACTCTCCTAACAATATATGTATTTTCTCGTAGCACTCATTTTAGAAAGAAAAAGGCGCAGTATAAATTTGCTTAATTTCAGCCAGCACTATTCCATAATTTCGGCCAGATCTTTTGACATAAATAACTTGGCATCCAAGCTGGCATACAAGTGGTCTGAAACTGGAAAACTAATAGAAGCACACTAGCTCCTTGCTAGTTCCTCACCAGTTTCATGACAGCTCCAGGATACTAGCAGGTTACTATCATGGCGCTAAGCTGGATCTCCGAATCACATGTTCTAAAGATCTGCCAGAATTATGGTATAATGCCGGCCAAAATTAATCCCAAATTTACTGCGCCACTCAACACGATATTTTTTTACCACAATTAGGTATTTTAACAGGCAACCAAATAGGCGCGCGCTTCATCCACATTTACTAACCAACAGGTCACAAAAAGGGAAAACAGATCCCATCTTTAGGACATATAAATTAATAGATTATAACATCTTAGGACATATTAATCAATAAACTATATTGTCTTAGGACATATTAATCAATAAACTATATTGTCTTAGGACATATTAGTCTGGGACAAGTAGTTTGTTCTAGGACAATTTAATATATTAATATATTAAATTGTCCTAGAACAAACTACTAAAATTTTATTCGCATATTTTTTTCCTTCTATGTAACCATGCTAAGATTATATCCAATATGCATACACTGAAAAATATCAATAAAAGAGGATATCGGCTGAGTAGTGCATATGAGAAAGAATTTGAAAAAAAATAAGATCTGTTACCGAATTTAACTCTGAGATTAATGATCTCAGTGAAAAGCTAGTAGATAAGTACGATAGACGAGAAAAGGAGTTCTATCAAATCTATGCTGATATTGGAAATAAAGTTAGCCAGTTAAATAATACATATACTGAGCTTAGATTCTAATTTACTTCTGAATGGAAGTCTCATTTCGAGAGTCAACATGAGCATAAAGCAGAATAAGCCAATTATTCTGCCGAAATCAAATTTCTTAAATCAAATATTAAAACACTAAAGAGAGAGGTAACTTTAGCGCAGAAAGTTTCGTCCGCTGACAAGGTTAAGATACTTTCTCTTGAAGCTAAGGTAGTTGAATTGGAAGGTAAGTTGTTATATCTGAAACTAAAACGTGATTCGCATATATTGGAAGGACTACTAGAGGAGCCTATTCGCAATAGAATCCCTCAGGCTTGAACTAGAGCAAGCAAATAAGGAGATTAATTCAAAAAAACATGAAATAGAATGTATGGAAAAAGGGATAGAATTATCAAATAACATATACAATCAGATGATAGATTCTTTATTTTCAGCATGATCAAATTTACTCGAGAAAAACACTCATCTTCAAAAATTACTATCGAAGAAAGGGCTGAGAGGCGTTTTACATAATGAAGTAGATACTCTACCCTCATCTATAAATATTTCATCACAATCTTCCACTCTTAATTCTCCTATATTCCAGAAAATTTCTGTAGGTGATGCAGAAGCAGTTTCAGCTATCCCTATTGTTGCAGACTCCTTAATGTCACTGATATTAATATATATTATGCTTACCTTATTATTTCTCGCAATTATATAGCTTGTGATCAGGAGAAGGATATGGGGTTCATAGAAAAAAGTAATACTAAATATTCTCTTAATCGAAACTATTTTTATCATCTTCAGACATTTCTGAGGCCAGGTTGTATGATCAGAGGCCAGAAGATCAATATAGAAATTGAAGTTAGCCAGTATTATTTTATGAGAAAAAATATAAATAATATTATAAGTTCTTTTAGCCAAAATTACCACACATCGCTAAGAGTACTTAATAATATAGTTCAATGATTTCATAAATATCCAGAATCAGTCAAAGAGGCAAATTCCCATCAATACATTCATGAGTATCAGGAATCCCATAAATTTCAGATGGATAATCAACAACTATAAAGCCTTTTTCTACTACCTGAATGATATATTTATCAAAAATCTCTTCAGGATGATAAGTTCCTAAAAGAGTGATACCATCTTTACTATTAGTTTCCAATAAATATTGAAAATACGTATGATCAATATAGCCCAGTTCAGAATCAAGGTCTGTTACATCTGAATAGAACCTTATTGCTTCATTTATTTTTATGGGGTTGTGTTCAAATTTTTTTTGCGCAAGTAGCATGATAGGTATGTGGAGGAAGTTAATATAAAATTACATAGAAAATACCAAATCTTCAAAATTACTATTTTGAGCGAATATGATTGTTAGCAAAACACTGGATTAGTGGTAGTACCCAAAAGTAATTGATACAATAATAACCAAAAGTAATCAGGTATATGGATACCCAAAAATAGCAATTATATGAAAAGGAATTCTAGAAAGGCTCAGGCGAAAACTAGGGTATAAATTTAGTGGTATCCAAAGATAGAATTATATATAGGAAAGAAAATAAGAAATTCTGCTTTTGGGTACCACTGACGATAGGCAGGAAAGAGATCGGAAAGGTGAAAAGACTTAGAATAATACACAAAAAAAAGGTATAAAAGATGTAAATTCTGAACTAATTCAGCATTTCGTGTCTTATCCTCAGCAATCAAACAGGCTATAAAAGGTTGGATTGCAAGAATAGCACAATACCAATACTTCGCATGTACCTCACCGGCAATCAAAAAGTGGGTAAATATATTGCAACACATCTTTTGCAAATAGATGGATTGCAAATTTAGCACTTCATGCCTCATCCGGCAATCAAGAAATAGCAATTGAGAGGAAAGTAACTATATAAGATGTTCTAGCATTAGAACAGTATTATGTGATTATAAAGCAGTAAGACGTAGTATTAATTCACTTATTTTCAGCCAATACCATTCCATAAATTTGGCCAGAAGTTTGGATATAATAATTCAGCATCCAAGCTAGCATAAAACTGGCGAACTAATAGAACTTCTCTGGCATTCTACAAGTTCTATGACAGTTTTAGAAGAGTTCCATAATACTACCAGGATGCTATCATGATGCTATTATGACACCAAATTGGATCCTCAAATCACATGCCCAAAAGATCAGCCAGAGTTATACCATAGAGCTGACAAAAATTAATCGCAAATGTACTATGCCACCCATCACCTCTTTTTTTATCACTTCAAGTATTTTAAAAGACAACCAAATAGATGTGTATCTCATCCATATTTATTGACTAATAAGTCACAGAGAGGAAAAGCAGACTCATCTTTAGGACATATTAATTAATAAATTATAACGTCTTAGAACATATTAATTAATAGATTATAACGTCCTAGAACATATTGATTAATAGATTATAACGTCATAGAACATATTAATCTAGTACAAGCAGTTTACCTTTTAAATGATCTATATCATACTTTATAAGAAATTTAAATAAGGAAATAATACATTTTTTATAAAATTTGTATATGTATTTAATGATTCTATATCAAAATTCTGTATGTTTTATAATAATTTATTTTTTTATAATTTTTTAAAAAACTAATGTATATGGAATTATTAAGGAATTTAAAATAACGTATAAATTTTACATAAAATAAAAAATAACAAAAATAATATTATGAGAAAAAATCTTTGATAAACAGATTATGCAAACCAAAATTTTTTTCTTGTACTTTAAATGTGCAGATACTAAATTAAGCTTGAATATTATGTTTGTAATAATTCTAAAGATTTATTACATTAATTTTGTCTAATAGATTTATTTTGATCATGTTTATCGATCAATAAACAAGATTTCTTTATAGAAACTTTAAAAATTCTAATGATATCAATTCAATATCGCAATAATATTATTAATTCAATATAGCTATGATATGAATAATGATATTATATTGAGATCAATGCTATATATTAATAATAGATCTACAAAAATATACAATCCTTATTATAATGATAAAGGATTCAATATTGAATTCTTATCATAATTATATGGATTTTACATCAAATCTATATCATTTATTATATCGTAACTATATATATTATACATCAAAATAATATTGTTACAATAAGGATTCAATATTGAAACCAGTGTATAAAATCTAAGTTAAAATTTATGTGCACATAACATTTTCTTATGTAAAATTACCTTTTTTATAAATAATTTATCTATTTTTAGTAATAATTTATGCACATTTTTGTTGTGTTATATGTGCACACAAAAAATTAATGTGCACATGTGCACATTGTGCATATAGATTTTACATACTAATTGAAACTATATTATTATAATAACTATTCGATATAAAATTTATATCATTTATAATATCATTATGATAAGGATTGAATATATCGTTATGATATTGCATTAATCTCAATAAGATATCATTATTTATATCATAACTATATTGAATCAACGTTAAATCAATAAGATCAAATCGATATTATTTTGAATTAATGTTAAATCTGAATTTATTTCACTAAAAATAACATAAAGTTCTTCAAATTTAAATGTACCATTAATTATAATATTTATTTTAATAATATATAAGTAATTAAATTTATTTAATTAACATGAAATAAAGTATTTTAATTTATTATTATTGATGATAAATTTTAATTGATATATTCTAGCAATATTTATGTTTATATATTTAATAATAAAAATTTAAAATTAGTATTAAATCTAAGTTAAACTTAAAAATTAATCCTAATAAAATCATTGATAATTATTATTAAAATTATTTGATTTTTTGAAAATTAAAAATTTTGATTATTGATTAAATTTAAAATTTTGCGTATTATCTAATCACTTATTAAATAATAAATCATTTAATGTTATATAAAAGTTATAATTGTTCAGAATGCATAATATTATTATTTATTTGATAATTTTGTGAAATAAATAATTTGAAATTAAAAAAATTTATTATTCAAAAATTTCGTGTAAAATTGAAATACTTATTAATCATAATTTTGTAATTTTATTAATCTTTCATAAAATTTGAAAAACTTTTGTAATATTGAATAATTCATTAGATAATCTTATGAAATTAACAATATTGCATAAATGCTTACATATTTATAAAAATTTATTTATAAGTAAATTAATTGCATTTTTTTTTTCTTTAATTGTTTAAAATTTATTTTTAACAATTACAAATTGTAAAATGCCTAATAAAAATTGATTGAAACAATCAAAAATTTCAATTTTTAATTGAAAAAAGAATAGAAATAATGAATATTGGTTGAGGCTTAGTAGATTAAAAAGATCCTTTTGAAATAATATTGCAAAAAAAATTAAAGATAATTTTAAAATAGAAGTTAATGCAAAGCAATATTAGAATATTATTTTTTTGAAAAATAAATATTTTTTTTTGTAAGTTAAAAAGACATTCAGTAAATAATTTAAAAATTGTTTTTGGAAAAAGTCAAAACATTATAAATAAATTTTCTATTATTTTTATTTATAAATGAATCAGTTTTAAAACTTAAAATTATTTATATTTTATAGCTTCTCATGTAGAAGAAAGAAAACATGTTATTTTAGAGTAACAAAAGCAAAAAGAATAACATAAAAAATTTTTTATTTATATATTACAATTTTATATTTAACTAAATTTAAATATTTTTTTTTTAGAAACTTTTAACCTCTCATCAACTTTATCTTCTTCATATCACTCCACCTCACCTTATTTACATTGTTCTTCTTCTCCTTTATCAAAATCATTCATAGCATTACCAAATATTAAATAAATCCTACCTAAAACTATCTTTTTTTCCTTATCCAACTTTTAACACTTATTTTTTAACTTTCTTTAATTTTTCTAACTGTTAATACTCTTTTCTTCTTTTTACTTTTCAACTATTATCTTTTTTTTATTATTTTATTCATCATCAACTTTCTCTTAATTAATTATTGTCACCAAATAAAATCTTTCTCTTTTTAAATCTCATCCAATTTTTATTTCTCATTAATTTTTTCATTACTATTTTTTATATGTTTTCAGTTTTTTTTAGTTTTTTTTCTGATTTTCAGTTAAAAAAATAAATATTTTTTTCCTAAACAAAGCTTGTCACCTTTATGCAGTATTTAAGATCAACAATTATAGGTTAGTTAGTCTATATTTGATTAAGAACAAGTTTTTTTAAATTTAATTTATGAATTTATCATAAATTTAATATAATTTTTTAAATAATTTGATAAGTTTCAAAAGTAAGTTTTAGCATTTATAGTAGAGTTTAAATAGTTTTAAATTGTTAAGTTTCGTCAATTTGAAAACTTATTAATTTTAAGTAATAATATTAGATAAAATTATTTAAAACCTTAAAATAATGTATTGTTATCTTACAATACTAATGACTGAAATTAGTATTGACGCAAGATTAATAAAGGATTTAGCTTTAAGATTTATAATATGAGATTTATAGAAAACTTCTGAAGGTTTATCAATCAAATGTATTTCAAAGATAGTATAATTATGAGTTGAGTAAGTTAAAATTTTATTAAATTAAAGAATTATTACAAGTGTATTTGTTAGCATACAAGTGTATCTAGTAATTATCTTGTTAATGATAAAATTAAGTAAATTCTCTGTCATGATTATGTTCTCTCTTTAATAAAGTTCTAAAGCTACTCTTTTTATAAGAAACTTGATAATATAAATAAATAAAATAATAAATAATAAAAATATAAATAAAAATAAGAAATGTAATAATTGGTCTTTCATTATATACTTAACATATATTACATATGACAGATTTAATCAATCTGACAGATTTTAAGGATCTATCAGTTTTAACTGATTAGATGGATTTTGAGGATCTGTTAATTTTAATTGATTGGATAGATTTTGTGACAAAGTAAAAATCATGTGATATATAAGGTAACTTTTTAGTTTATTATAGTATAGATTTAGTTGGTTTCAAAGATTTAGAACTTTTTTTATACATGTGGAAGGTAGTCAGTAGAAAAAGTGAAAATCCAAAATTTTTGTTAATTTTTATTATTAAGCCAAATTCGTGCATATGATCAAAATCAGCCAAGTGATCTAATAATATAAATTTTGACCAAAATTTAGATTTCTCCCTTTTCTATTAACTACTTCCCATGTGATTCAACTGCTAATTTATTAACTACAATTCCAACTTTGATTAATACCAAATATTATTATTATTATTTGTTAAGATAAAATTAATAATTTATTCATAAAATCTTAAATAATAATGATTAAAGCATTAGTTTTTGAATATTTTATTATTAAGTTTTAATTTCGTTATTTTTGTTAATTAATTCTATTATTTATTAAATTATGATATATAAATAAATAAATAAATATTAAAAATATGCTTACTTTTAACTAGATATAAATTAGCCTATAACTGTTGATTCTAAATACCATATAAAGGTGACAAGCTTCGTTTATAAAAAAAATTGGTTTTTTTAGCAGAAAATCAAAAAAAAAACTATAAAAACTAAATGTAAAATAAAAATATGTGAAGGTATTAGAATAAAAAATGATAAAAGTTTAAAGGAGATCAAAATATTTATATAAAAAATAAAGAGTGACAAATAGTTAGATTAAAGGAAAGACAATAGTTTGAAAAAGATGAAATAGAAAAAAATATAAAAAATAATAATAAATATTTGAAAGAAGAAATTAAAAAAAAATAAAGAATGAAATAGTTGGAAGAGGAAATATTTGTAAAACAAAAGAAGAATTATGAGGAATGGTTTTCAGTTGGCATTGGTGCTTCAGTATTAGATGATGAAGATAATAGTGTAGCAGAAATAAAAGGAAAATCAGAATAATATGAAAAAGGTAAAGGAGTAAAGAATTGTGAATCTTCTAGTAAAAGTAAATATAAATTTAGGTTAAAATAAATTTATAGTATTTTGAAACTTAAATAACTAACTTACTTTGTTCTAAAATGGCTTTTATTTAAGAAACTAGAAATAAAAATGTTTGATTTAATCTAAAATTTAATATCAATATCAATTAAAAACAATTTTTTGATATTTTTTGTATTATTTCATTATTTTACAAGATAATTGAAAAATACTTGCATTAAAAAGATTTAATTGATAGTAATTATAATAAAAATCAATATTTAAGTTTAAAATATATATTATTTATTTTATATGAAATTTTTTACATTTTTTATAATTCTATATATATCAGTTTTTAATAAGCGTAAAAAATGAAAAAAAAGGTAAAAACCATAACTTGGATTGATTGATTTGATAGTTATTTTTATTTTTATTTATATACAATTTGATTTATTATATTTATGTATAATATAATATTCTACTGTACCATATATTTTCTCAATTTTAAGTCTTTGAGAAGCATTATAATAATAAGCATTTTTATTAATTTAAAATAAAATAAATATATATTAATTAAAAATTATAATTATAATGATAATTATAAATATATAAATATAATACTTACTAATACAGAATATTTATTTCTAAATTTTATTTTATTTTTTCATATCATTTTAGATAAATAATCAAGATTTAATATAATAAGTTTAAATTCAATTTCATATAACAATGACTGTTTTTATTGTACATGTTATATTTTTATAATAATAATAAAAATTATAAATAAAATTGCATTACAAATAGAATGCATTAAAGATTCTAATTTAATTTTTTTATTTATATATTATATAAATAAATACATTATTTAGTAAAGACTTATTATTTGAACTATATATTTATTTTTTTACTAAAAATAAGATAATAAAATAAAATAAAATAAATTATTTTTTGTGAGATATTTTTATTATTTAATATATAATTTATAATTAATTTTATTTCTTATCAATTAGACAAATTTTATGATTAATTCTTAATATATTAGATTTATTACAAATTATAAAGTTAAATTTTCAATTATTATTATTATAAAAAATAAAAATAAAATATTTTTATATTAATAACTTAATCTATTTGTTAAAAATTTTCTTTATCACCAAATAATATTCTCTTTATTCTGAATTTATTAGGTTTAAAAGAATTTTAATTTTGATAAAAGTATTTTGATTAATTTTAAAATATAAAATTGAATGTAAATAATAATGATTATATTAATAGTTAAATAATTTATTTATAATTAATAAAAATAAATTTTAAGCATATGAGAGGTTTGCTAGAAAAATGGAATTCTGAAAATTTTTTTAAAGTTTAATCAAAAAATTCTCAAAATTCCTTTTTCCTAACAAACCTCCTATATTTCTAAATTGAAATATGTTTTTTTATAAAAACAATTATTAAAATATATTTTTATAAAAAAATTAATTGAAAATAATGATAATAAATAATTAAAATAATTTTCTGCTATAATCCATATTAGAGCTCTGAACAGGTCAGGTCGGGTTGGGTAATTGACTTGACCTAACCTGATAAGATCAGGTCAGATCAGACATAAAATTGACCTGAATTAAATATATATTGACCCAACCTAACCTAACCCAACCCAACCCAACCTGATCTGATCTGATCTGATCTGACTTGTCTAAAAAAGAAAACTAAATATTTATACAATTATTAATTTTGTTTAATATTTTTTTAAAAAAATATAAAAAAATATTGATATATTTTTACATTTGATTATTTTTCAAAAAAAAAA